CTCCATGTCTTCCCCGAGTTTATGACCCTTCGTGTGTCGTTTTGTCACAGACTCCATGTTAGAGGTCCTGGACCAAAACATCAATTAGTAACCATGGCAACGAGAGCTTTTAGGGTAAAGAGCGCTCCTCGTTCCCTTCAGCAAACCTAATGGACCCTCGCATGCACGCTAAGTTATTATGGGGAGGGCTAGCTTGTTGCCATGCCAGGTGATAAATCGACAAATCTAAACAAACTACGCATCATTTAAAATATTTCAAGTTGAGAATTTCAAAATAACATCACACTGTTGAAAACTTCTTCATAATTTTTAATCTCAACTTGTGTCTTAACTCTTGAGCAGAACAACAGCTATTCACGGAGTGTGTTCCTGATCCGCAAGATGTATTTTTATTGTCAATAATAAAAATGTCATGTAGTTAGTTTTTTTTTTTTTTTTTTTGGGGGGGGGGGGGAGATTTAAACAGCATATAAAAACTATAAATAAAGATTTTGTGTCCAATGAAGGATTCAGTGAGGCACCCTTCTCAATAACAGTCAGGCACCAATTCCACCGCCTGTATTGACTGATGAAAAAAACTGCATGTGTCGAGCGGCGAGCCGGTGCGTCCTAGTCACATGACGCTGGTGAAGATTCTAGTCACATGACTGATTTCAGGCCATCGAGCAGGAAAGACAAACTCTCAGCGACTCCATTTTAATTTGTGACACGTTGCAAACTTCTAACCAGTTTTTAAATCGTGTTGACGGGCCGAGAAAAACCAGAGTTATGATAAATAATCCATGACATCTGTTCTGAAAACCATCGTCATATCAGAAGCACGTTAACCAGCAGCAGAGGTGGACCGAGTCTTAGACCAAGAGGTGGACCGAGTCTTGGACCAAGAGGTGGAGCGAGTCTTAGACCAAGAGGTGGACCGAGTCTTAGACCAAGAGGTGGACCGAGTCTTAGACCAAGAGGTGGAGCGAGTCTTAGACCAAGAGGTGGAGCGAGTCTTAGACCAAGAGGTGGACAGAGTCTTAGACCAAGAGGTGGACAGAGTCTTAGACCAAGAGGTGGACCGAGTCTTGGACCAAGAGGTGGACCGAGTCTTGGACCAAGAGATGGACCGAGTCTTAGACCTAGAGGTGGACCGAGTCTTGGACCTAGAGGTGGACCGAGCTGCAGACCTAGAGGTGGACAGAGTCTTGGACCTAGAGGTGGACCGAGCTGCAGACCTAGAGGTGGACCGAACTGCAGACCTAGAGGTGGACCGAACTGCAGACCTAGAGGTGGACAGAGTCTTGGACCTAGAGGTGGACCGAGTCTTGGACCTAGAGGTGGACCGAGTCTTGGACCTAGAGGTGGACCGAGTCTTGGACCTAGAGGTGGACCGAGCCGCCTAGTCAGAACCTCTCAGACAGAAGAGACGATAATTTTGACACCATTTTGATTTGTTTTAGAAGAGGAAAGAGGAATCGGACCGAGCCCCACTAGCCCCACACAGGAGTGCACCGTGGCTCCGATTTCCTTAATTTTGGGAAATCAGAAATCGGCCGATACTTACATGATAAACCGATTTTACCAATTTTTTGTTGTGAACTTCATTTATATTTCAGAGCACTACCTCACGACCATTTGAAACAAGTGTGTGTTGTTTCTAGGATTTTGTTCAAGGGCATGTTTTTCAATAAAATAAGAGTGGAAAATTAACGGTGCATTGTGACCTTATAACGCCTGACTGTGTCGCTTATAAAACAAAATCGGTGATCGGCAAGAAAACTGCAACCGGTGCACCCCTAGAAATAACGTTAGCGCCAATATGTGCACAGTCCGAGATCCTTTAAGGAAAAGTGTCTTTAGATTTCTACGCGTATTTCACCCCCGTTTTGTTTCTTTGACTGAAAGGAAAATAAGTTCTATACAACTATTAAAGATTCCTCACATGTCAACCCCACTACTGCTCTTGGGTCTGAACACCCACAACCCAAGGGCACCAGAAGGGTTAAACACCTTTGTTTTTCCATTTACTATTTCCAAACTCCAAACTTGTCTAGACAAACTTTCAAATCTATTTTAAACCCATTTTGACATTCAAGATACAAACATTTACTATTTTTTAGTAAGTGCTTTTGAAATCTAAGCGTTACCATCCAGCCTTTTGTAATTTCAGACTACGTGAGCCAGCTCTTTATTGCCAAATATTTTTTAAAGTAGTTCTAGGTATTTGAACGGTACATTTACAAGGCGTTTTTAAAAGGTCCTTAAAATCACACTTTAATATTTTCGAATGCAAAATGGTCGAATGTAACGAAGAAATGCCGAAGTCACCTCTGCTTATCGTATACATCTCCTTTTCATATGTATCCCATACCTCTAAAGAGTCCTGGGTTCTTTGAGAGGAGGAAAACACAGTATTTTGTCCCTTACAAGTCCTCTGAACTTTTATACCACATGCAGATTAAAGCTAAAACTAATCTAGCATATCTTGAAGAAATGCATATCACCCGCCATGCCAGAGTTTTAGACTAAAACCAGATATGTTGAAAACAAGACGTTCAGTGTATACGTTGGGGATCACTCACCTACTACCATGTATTTTAGGTCAGTCTCAATGAAATCAACTGGGTTATAACCATTTTCTAAAGCTGATTAGTTGTGACATCGGTCCTGAACGGGACTAACTTGAAAAGTTAATCTTGGTATGTGAAAATACCAATTTATTTATTGGCTCAATTGTCTTTGTCAGGAGGCTTCGGGACCGGAATCGACCTCCATACAAGTGTATGGATTTTAAAAAACTTCTTTTTTCTTGTATTGCGAGGTAAGTTCAAACTTTTGGGTAGGTTGATGACGAGGTAAACACATCTGCCGTTGCTATCATATTCAAAAAGTTTCAGTTCAAGCTCGAGATTTCAAGTTTACCAGCGTTTACGTTATGACGCTTTAGTTGGCGATGACATCGTAATGTACACGTTTAGGAACGTCACGATTATGTTTTGTAGATTTCTGTCTAAAATTTACAATTATTCGGCTTTCAAATGATACCAATTTTGTCTAATTACGCCAAGAAATACGAAAAAATACGGTATTTTCAATCATGCCTGCTTTTGTTTATACATTAGGCTAATTAGCCGTTAAGTGGGCACTTCAGGTCAACTTTAATCTGCTCTAATTTGTATATTATTGGGCCTTTGAAGATAATTATGGTATCAAGGTCTTTTCAAGGCATTTCTAATGACATGTGAGGTTTGTCTTCCTTTAAGTGGTTCGTGAGATGTTTTACCAACTAGTTAAAGGCTGACAAAAAAACCTTGCACAACCCGTTTGAGCTCAGATTATCTGACGGGGATCAGGCTCAGCTACATCCAAACCAAACCGTAGACCAAGGCTATCCAACTAAATTCAAGAAGGTGCCAGGTTTCTCAATTCAAAAAGTGTGGGGTTTGAGTTATAAAGCTTAGGTAAGCTAGATACATATTCAGATGGACCTATCGCGCCTCACAATACAGGTTCGTTATGGATTACTTAGGTCAGTTACTGAAAGCCATGAGCTCAGGGTCCAAACATCCCAGTTGTTGTCATTGAGCAAGTTTGTTTTACAGTTTCAAGAAGGGGTGGGCAACATTTTTTGCCAGAGGGCCAAATCAAGGTATTTAACGCAATCGAAGGGTCGCGTAGAGAAATAGTAAATAGATTATCTTTAAGATAATCTAGAACACTTATTCCAGGCTTTATCTTGCAGTGAAGTTAGCATGCTTGATTAAAAATGTCTCAATACTCTAGAAGACATATTCTTGGTAAACTGGCTCGAGATAATATGTGCGTTAGCTAGGGATGCACGATATTGGATTTTTGGCCGATATACGATATGTTAAAACGTATTTGGCCGATAACCGATACTTTTACTTTCCTTTGTCAGAACCTAGCCTAAGACTAATCATGCTAACGGGGCTAACACTTGACGTCCAAATGTCTGTGGTAAAACTCACCCAAGTGCTATCGGCTATTAGCTTCTCAATGACGTCGGTAATGACGGCTTGTAACTCGGGTGAGGCTACGTCGGAAAAATATCTTTGACTGGGGACGATGTAGCGAGGCTCAACGTAGTCCATAAATCTTTGGAATCCGACATCCTCAACAAAAAATACTCCCACACCGCCGACATTTTGAATTTTCCTCCCTGCCGTGATCAGATCAGGTAGGTGCGCGTGACGTCACGTTGTGGCGTCCTCGTCACTGGGTTGTCATACAAAAACAGCGTCTTTTATATCGGTGAGTTATTCTGATGGAGTGGCCGATGTCCGACCTTTAACGATAATATCGTCCGATACCGATACCATGCCGATATTAATGCGCATCCCTAATGTTAGCTTAAATATGTTGTTTTTTTTTAAACACCATATATTTGCTTTTTGGAGTTTTTAAGGCTCAGTCTAGTTCTGAAAATGCAACAATGTTGGGGGAAAAAAGGTTTTGGCTTTTCTTAATCCAAAAGTTTTTGATGTAGTTGCCCAAGATGTTAAATTTCAACCGAAGTTTCAGGTAAAAATACAGGTTTTCGTCAACTTATTTAAAAGTTTTCTTATCAATTAAGAATATTGAGGGCCGGATAGAGATTGTGCAAGGCCTCGGGTCATACGTTGCCCAAGTCTGGTTTAAAGCCTGGTTTTAATTTTAAAATAATCCATGAGTGGGGCCGAACTGAGCTCCCCACTGGGCCTGATTTGGCCCGCGGCCCGCCAGTTGAAAAACCCTGCAAGTGCATATAGCCATTGTTTTGATTCAGTTGGCTACGGCAGCCATTTTACATCCTGTCGACACCAAAAAAGGTCATTGTAGTTAAACATCCGGTGCTTACTTCCTACAAAAATGGGACTAAAATCCACCCAGTGTTCCACGAGATATTTCGCTAACACAGACACAGGCAAATACACGATTGCCCGTTTGCGCCCCGGCAACAAAAAGGAGCACGTCTTCAGGCGAAAAACGTGTCCGAGTGGTGAAAAGTGTGCACTTACTTGCCGATCACCTCGCACAACTCGTAGACATCCTCGAACAGCACGTCGTCGTCCGCCATGGTCATCCAGGTAAACGAGGATGCTCTCCCCGCAAGAAATCCCTCCCGCACGTTCAATGACGATTATTTATTAAAAGTATGATGTTGCAGACACGAGCCTAGTGGTTTAAACCTAACCACAACAGTGTCAGTAACCTGGGAATAAAAAATAATCGGCGGCTCTGACTGAATTAGACCGAATTAGCCGGCTAGCCACATTAGCTCGAAAGAAACACCCCTTTTTTTTTTAACATGCCCCGGGTTTGGTTCACCCTCCCCCCCCGCGACTGGTGAATTTAGCACGGGGACTCCCACAGCAGCATCCGGCACGAGGCTTCCCTCTTCACCCAGGAGGAAAAAAAAAGGCCCGCTGGGCTAAAAACGATGAGCTAGCTGTCGACGGAGCCACCGGTCGTCTCGCACCGTTACTGCGCCGCGCACACCCAGTACAGATGGCTTATCCGGGGGGCTGCGGTATGTCCGCTCCCTCAGCTTCCCGAGCCCAGATTAAAAACCTCCACCTTCATTGTCCGCCTTCGACCTGTTGCATAGATTGTCTGTGCTTCGGAATATTGAATATAATTTTTTTTTTTAAACGCAGGCTTAGATGCTGCCTATCTTTTCCCCCCCGACTTCCAGAAAAGCCAGGCTCCGCCCTCTACCGTCCGGGCAACTGGGTGTAGCCGGAGCCACAATGGCGGCGACGGCTGCAGCTCGTAGCAGCGCTGGAGCCAAGATGGCGCCTGCAGGGGGGCGCGTTTCAGGCGCAGTTTCCTAATAACCGATCCCTCCAGCGTATCCCGCGCAGGCGTCGGCCAGACGAATCTCTTCTTACGTCAGCCTTTTCGCCCCCACTCTTAAACCCACCACTTTGACTCTTTATTACGTTTTAATTGATATTTTCTGTCCGTACAGCGCACACTTATTAAAGCTACGCAATAACTGGGCGCGAAGTTCAGCGTTCACTAACATAGGTGCTCAAAAATGTGCCTTAAAATAAATAAATAAATAAATACTCAGGCGTCTTTTTTTTATTTTAACGACTAACTCTGACATGTAAGTTCCACCTCAAATTAGCGTGTCATCATTTTGTACAGTTTAAATTAATTTACAAATATTAAACTTTTTTTTTTTTACTTAATAAAATCAGGCTATATTAAAATACCTAAATGTTGCAACGTTATAATTAAGCCCCAAGCAAAATTAGTAAATTTTAAAAGAAGTGCGAAACAGGTGGGATTTCCTCAGGTGTGGTTGGTGCTGCCCTCTGGCGGTAATGGCTGGAATGTAAATTTAATGAAAATATATTTAAAAATACTGTATGTTTAATTTAAAATATATATTTTATTTAAAAAAAATAACTAAAAATATGTGGGAAATATATTCAGTAGAAAATGTGGAAAACATTATTTAATTTAAAACTTATAAAAGCGACTTTACTTTTAAAAAAGCAAGGATTTTCCTTCAATTGTTGTCAGACTATTGGTAATATAAGAAGTTTTATTATTGTTCTGCATTTTGAACAATTTTAAATTTGAAATTATCTAGAATAAAATAGGAAATTACAACAGTTTCAGTCATTTTGCCACAATCAGAGATTTAAAAATTAAAAAAATAAATAACAGAACAAGGGCATGTTGGTCCCACTAGATGGCGCTGATCACAGAGCGTATCCCCTGCAGTTTCCATGGTGCTGCATCCTTTCTCCTCATGCATCATCTGCAAGTTCCTTCCATTGGTTGAAGCCCAACAGTCGGCACCGACCGCCCGATTGGCTGCTGATGTGGTCATCGTGCCTTCCACCATTGAGCTGCGCTCCGTTCAGTGCAGGGGACGCAGGAGCGCAGACTCGTGCCTTGAGCTGAACGTCTGGCCTGGGCAGACGTGCGACTGGAAACGACACGGACAGCCGAAAGGTGTGGCTAGGAGGAGGCTGATGAAGGAAAGATGGAGATAAGGGATGGGGGGGGGAGAAAGAAAAAGCGATGTTTCTATGGCAACGTGGAGGGGAACGGTGGCTGCAAACCGTCTGCATCCACGCACACGCTCAAATAAAAACAGTTTAAATGTTGCTCCTTCTGGGTGATTCCCCACTCGTGTATTATTACACGAGTGCTCATTTTTCATTCTCTGACACTTTGGGTCGACCTGAATGGATCACTTGTCCGTTCTGAAACAGTTACAACAGACTGTTTAAATATATTTAATTTTTAGAAGTAGTCATCGAATGCAGAGAAAGTTGTAATTTACCAGTTGGTTTACATGTAGCTTCATCAATACATTCTGCCATGTCCGGCCTTTTGAGGACATCCATGAGCTTGATGTGGCCCACTAGATGATATATACCGTATTTTTCGCTGTATAAGTCTTTTTTTTTTTGTTGTTGCATAATTTGCATGCCCTGCGACTTACACGCCGATGCAACGTATTTTTTCCCATATTTATAAAAAAAAATTTGGGGCTTACATATGATCGTTTTCAATCATTCCGACTGAAAAAAATTGAGCACTAACATTTTCAGCCACTAGATGGCAGCAGAGCAGTATGGCATGCCGTTGTATCATCTAATAGGTAAAAGTGGCTATTAATGACACAATCGGCTTGCCACAGGCTGCGTCTGCCTGGAGCAGTCGTCTCAATTATGTTTCTGTTACGCCCCTCCTAGGAAGATGTAAACACCCCCCCCCCAACTTCCCACTGCGACTGTAAATAATATAATTTGTCTATAAAATTGTTATAAGTACACCTCAGCATAACATTGTGTCCTTATTAACATTAATTAAAAAATAATATAGATCAACTTAAAATGAAGAATAACTTTAACATTGTTTTTTAGTCTGTTAAAAAAAAGACTTAAAGTGCACCAAAAAAAACTTAAATCCTTATTTAAAGTATAAACACTTCTGACTATTTGATACTGCAAAATAAAATTAAACATAATCAATAAATACTAATAAACTAAAATTGATCAGCAACATTTTAACTCAGGAGTATTATATAAAACACTTTGACCTACAAACAAAGTCCATGCTCAATAATCCAGGTATATAATCCAACAATTTTCAGTCAGGTCATCTGGACGATTTCTTTCTTTTTTTTTTTTTTTTGCGCTGAAACGTTTCACCTTCCATCCAGAAGGCTTCATCAGGCAAGGACATACAACTTCTGGATGGAAGGCGAAACGTTTCAGCACAAAAAAAAAAAAAATAAGAAACCGTCCAGATGACCTGACTGAAAAATGTTGGATTGTATACCTGGATTATTGAGCATGGACTTTGTTGGTTTTGATTGAACCAGTTTGACACGACTGTCGACGAGGAAGATGGCCGGCACCGGAGGAGGGGGCGTGCCAAAGACACCATCTTAGCACCAACATAACAGGTTTGTTCCACTTTGGAGTAAGATGTTGGGGGAAGAATCAGTTTTGTGTTGTGTGTTTTGACTGACGAAGCCTTCTGGAGACCCCGGGGAAGACCCAGGACACGCTGGAGAGACTACGTCTCGGTTGGCCTGGGAACGCCTTGGAGTCCTCCCAGAAGAGCTGGAAGAGGCGGCTGTGGAAAGAGATGTCTGGACCTCCCTGCTCAAGTTGCTGACCTCAGAACAAGAGGAAGATGATGGATGGATTGTATCTAAGAATGGGTGAGCTTTGTGACAAGTGAGGCGCTGACTATCTGGAATCGAAGCTCACATATAATACCCTCCAGGTCCAGTTTTGTTCACGAGTGAGGGAAGAACGGAGCGGGAGACAGACAGATCGGTGCAGCGTCTGCAGTATTGCGGACTTTGTGCCGATCCGTTGTGGTGAAGAGGGAGCTGAGCTGTAAGGCAAAGCTCTCTACCAGTTGGTTCCTACCCTCACCTGTGGTCACGAGCTCTGGGTAGTGACTGAAAGAATGAGACTGTGGATACAGGTGGTTGAAAAGAGTTTCCTCTGCAGAGTAGCTGGACTCTCCCTTAGAGATCGTGTGAGAAGTTCAGTTATCAGGAGAGACTCGTAGAACCGCAGCTGCTCCACATCAAGAGGAGCCAGTTGAGGTGGTTCAGATAGCAAAGTACCACATTCACTGTAGTAAGTGGAGGGGATCTCCTTCCCCTGTTTTATGAACGATTTTAAGTCATACTGTTTTCATTATATAGATTTATATATATATATATATATATATATATATATATATATATATATATATTAAGTTTCTCATATAGTCTTTGCATTGTATGTTTTTATTTTTCATTCCTTTGTAAAACCACTTTGTAAACCTCTACGAGAGTTTGCGCTTGTACTTTGTTAAAATTGTTTTGTTTCAATGTATGTTGTTCATAAAGTTTTTAAAAAATGCTACTTCCGGTAGCTTTTGTTAAAATCGTTGATAAAAGTGAACGAAAATAAGATACATCGAAAACTTAAAAATAGATTCTTATATTTTGTTTTTGGATAAAAAGTACACCGTCAGTAATAGTAAAAAATATACAAAAACGAAAAAAAAAAAATAATAATAATAATACGTCAAAGAACCGGAAGTACGTAGGGAAATTAGTGAGTTCGAGCATGCGCGTTGGAGTCCTTCACAACAGTTCAACGGGAAAGCGCCGTGTTCAAATTCAGTTTTTTTTTTTTTTTTTTTTTTGGATTTGCGTGTTGGCACAGCCGAGATGGAGCAGTTTGATACAAGGTACGTGGAATATTTGTGCTAAATAAATTATCTTAATTTAATTATTCGTGTTTTCGCAACAACTACAACAAAGCTTCTCCGACCGCCTTCCTTTGAAGATCGCGCCAAATGACGTTCAATAATTATTAACTTTAACATTATCCTGTTTTCTCACGGAAACTGCTCCGTCTAAATATACAATACACGTCTCATTCTAGGTTTTATTTTCTAATTTCTAATTCGGCTAACTTTCTATACACAAAGAAGTACCACAACGAGTCAAAATTTCACATTTGATGTTCCTTTTCAACTACAAATGGATCTCCTGATGCATGTCCAATAATCCAGGTAGAAAAATCTACAAAAGTTCAATCTGGTCCTCTGGACATTCAAAAAACAAAACAAAGCAAAACAAAAAAGTAGAAACGTTTCGTCTCTCATCTGAGAGACTTCCTCAGTCTGAGGTGCTGTTTTCAGCTCAGTCTCTTAAATAGCACCTTCACAGAGTGGATCAACCAGTTTGCTGCTGACATCCAGAACCAGCTGATCACATGCTCAAGAAGGACCATCAGCCTAACAATGGATCATTAGCACACTGATGGCTGTTTACTGTTCACAGAGGGCTGAGTGATACTAGCAATCACAGCATTGTAAGAGGGGGACAATTGAACCCGGAGGCTCCACCCCTGTTTAATGATGGACGATTTATTTTCACAAAGATGGCCTCCTTTACTCCTCTCTCAAACCATCGTTCCTCTGTCCAGGATGTGAACATCTTCATCCCTGAAAGAGTGACCGCTGGCCTGGAGATGAGTGTAGACCACAGAGTCCTGGCCTGATGATGTTGATCTTCTGTGCTGGTCCATCCTTTTGGCCAGTGGCTGTTTAGTTTCTCTGATGTAAGACTGATCACAGCCCTCCTGACACTGAACAGCATACACAACATTACTCTGTTTGTGCCGGGGGACTGGATCTTTGGGATGAACCAGTCTTTGCCGTAATGTATTTTGGGGTTTAAAAGCCGCTGGGACGTTGTGTTTAGAAAATACTAATAGCTCATCAACACCATCACAATTCCAATAAGACAACACTCCAGTAGTCAATTACATGCCAGGGAGACAGAAAAGTGGGTGAAGAATTTATCTGACAGACAGCTCACCCAGCCGGAGACAGAGATTCTTGCCAGGGGACTGAACTTTGCGGTTGCACCAAGTACAGTTCCTCTGGTGGAGATGATCACAGCCACAGAATCAGCCATCCGCAACAACAAAATGAAAGAGGCTGAAGCAGAACAGCTCAGAGTCAAAGTTTCATCCTGCCTCAGCAATGCCAAACCACCACCTTCCAACATCAGTAGAGAGGAGAGGGATGCACTCACCACTCTTAGCAAGGACAAAAACATCATCATTCTCCCAGCAGACAAAGGAAGGTGCACAGTGATTTTGAACCAGAAAGACTATCATGAGAAAGTTATGACACTCCTTAGTGACTTAACCACTTATGAACCTCTGAAAAGAGATCCAGGAAGTGGTTACAAGAAGAAGTTAATAGATTGCCTGAAAAATTTTGGAGCAGGACAAGGCTATTGACCGTTTTCTGTACCACAGACTGTACCCAGGGGAGGCCACACCTAGTCTGTATGGTTTACCTAAAATCCACAAACAAGGTGTACCTTTAAGACCAATCGTTAGCATGATTAACTCTGTCACTTACAATGTTTCCAAATATCTGGCGTCTGTACTCATCCCTTTAGTTGGCAGCTCAGAACACCACATACAGAACACCATGGACTTTGTGGACAAGGGGAGGGATGTCATCATGGAGACTGATGAAACAATGGTCTCTTTTGATGTCACATCACTCTTTACGTGCATTCCTGTTGATGATGCAGTAGAGGTGATCAGTTTAAAATTAAAATCAGACACCACTCTGAGCAGCAGGACCACGCTTTCTACAGAACAACTGTGTCAACTCTTGAAACTGTGCCTGCAGTCAACCTACTTCACATATGGGGAGCAATATTCTAGGCAGAAACATGGGTGTGCTATGGGGTCTCCAGTTTCTCCTATTGTGGCCAACCTGTACATGGAGGAGGTAGAAAAGAGAGCCTTGACGTCCTTTTCAGGGACACCACCAAGTCATTGGTTCAGGTATGTTGACGACACCTGGGTTAAAATCAAATCTCAGGAAGTCCAACATTTTACTGACCACATCAACTCTGTGGATAAATACATCAAGTTCACACGAGAAGATGTAAAAAATGGCAGGTTGGCTTTCTTGGACTGTGAGGTCTCAGTCTCTGATAGAGGACATTTACAAACTGAGGTGTACCGCAAACCCACCCACACAGACCAGTATTTGCAGTTTGACTCCCATCACCCTTTGGAGCACAAGTTAGGAGTCATCAGGACTCTGTACCACAGAGCAGACAGCGTCCCCACTAGCTCGGGAGCCAGGCAGAAGGAGAAATCCCACACAAGACAGGCTCTAGAGCAATGTGGATATCCTAACTGGGCCTTCCTGAAAGCAGAGAAGAAACCCAAACAGGACTCCAGTCAGCCATCAGGTGAAAAGGAGGAACCCAGACCCAGACCAGTGGTCATTCCATATGTTGAGGGAGTATCAGAGAAACTGAGACGTTTATTTTCTAAACACAACGTCCCAGTGGCTTTTAAACCCCAAAATACATTACGACAAAGACTGGTTCATCCCAAAGATCCAGTCCCACGGCACAAACAGAGTAATGTTGTGTATGTTGTTCAGTGTCAGGAGAGTGATCAGTCTTACATCGGGGAAACTAAACAGCCACTGGCCAAAAGGATGGACCAGCACAGAAGAGCAACATCATCAGGCCAGGACTCTGCGGTTTTGTTTTGTTTTTTTAAGGTCCAGAGGACCGGATTTAACTTTTTTAGATACAAATGGATCATTTTCCCACTTCTGGTTGACCTCTGGGGCTATATACCCAAACATTTATACTGTGCAAAAAGCCCCTGTCTGTTGTGTTAAAGCAGTAATATTCTTTGTTTCTGATTTTCAGTGTGATGAGGACTCCCCGGGACAGTGGTGGGGTTAAAAGAAGGAGCAAAAGTCGGAGCTACCATCAGTCCTACCGCAGCTGTTTAAGTGTTGCTTCAAGGCATGGCTTGACCTCAGGGAGACTCAGCACCAACAGAAAAGCTCCAAAGCTACACAACGTCACCGTAAGTCATCCCTGGGCATTACTTTATACTGATAATGCTCGTCTCTTTGTTTTTAACCACGTTTCTCTCAAAGGACAAGGTGAATCCGGAGCACCTGGCTTTGTTGGTGAAAACCGAGTGGCAGCTCTCCTACGTCACCCCTCTCTACCAGTTCAGACACACCCAGCTGAAGAGCTACGCCAAGCAGCTTTCGGCTTTCGTCGTCGCCGAGCAGCAGCAAGGTCTGGCGGTGGAAGTCGGAGGGCAGCAGAGCAGCTTCAAAGTCTCGTTTTCGGTGGTGCAGGGGATGGCGGAGGCGGACAACGACCCTGAACCGGTCCTCATACAGGTTCGAGCGTGACGATAAAAAGAACGTTTGTTTTTAGGCGATAGACCAACTAAATCTGCAAATTGTTGTCTCCTTGCCTGCGCAGATACATTCAAAGCCGGTGTTCGCGAGGCAGGATGAGCCACAGAAGTTAGTTTGGAGTGGCTGGTTGACTTGCATCAATGGCAATCCTGAATATCTTCACTCCCTTCCAAAAGACTTCACCTGTCTGCCGCTCTTTGGCTACAAAGGGTCTGAAAGGCTCTCCTCTGTGGTCAAATCCTGGTTCCAGAGAACGTTTGACTGCTGTTTCGGTCCCTTGGAGATCAGCCACACCAGCCTACAATGGCTCATGGCGCTATGGACTAACTGCCACGCTGAATCCAACATCCAACACCTGAAAATGCTCTGGACTCTACCGTCCGTGCCGCCGCTTCAAGTGACCTATGCCGTCGACGCCCGGGATGCGTGGGAGCTGTGGGGCAGCGTGCAAAAAGGTTCACGGGGAAACGACGACGGGGCAGAGAAGGCGGGCTGGATTGACGTGGAGGAGGTGACGGGTTTCATGAAGGGTCTCAAGAGTCACTTTTACAGGCACTTCAAGCTGGACCTTTCAGCCGGGACTCTGAACCAGGTCTCCACAGCGCTGGGATCAGCCAAGCGCAGCGGCAAGATCAAGGTAACTCGCAGAGGTCTTTATATGTGCACCGATGTTACACCAATGAAAACCATCTTGAAAGAAAGTACAGTAGTAGGCCTGGCACGATAACAAATTTTCCTGGGCGATTAATTGTCTCCGAAATTATTGCGATAAACGATAATATTATTTTGAGATTGTTTTAAACTAATGTAATGATAATGACATAATAATGCAAGTGCATCCTCTCAAAGATCGATACACTTTAATTTCAAATGAACCATTAACACTGTAACACAAAATAAACAAAACAACCCAAAATAAAATGGACTCTCGGTCTCTGTTAACAAAAAATGCACTTGAATAAAAACTAAATGCAACAAATAAAATGGAAGTAAAAACTACATTCAACCAAAACAGTACGGATCATGATGTCTGTAAAATAAATTGCCCTTCAAAAAATAATAACCATTAGTTTTATACAGGGAAAACAGACAGCGGTTCACCTCGGCCATTTGGTTTGAATCCAAAGTGTTCCCACTTTGCTGCTGTTGTGTTTGACATTGAAACCAATTCCATTTCATTTTTTTCCCCTAATATCAAATAGCGTTTCTTTAGCTTGCGAACTCCTCACGGGGCTCTAATGCTGCTGAGGTACAAGACGATGCACCTTGACTGGCTAACTGACGCGGTAGTTCACTCCCCACTTACGCTAAGGAAGTGAGAAAGGGAGGGGTCAGTGAAGAGCACCGGAGTTGAGCCTTTTGTCATCTAGTGTCTTCAGTAGAAAGAGAGAGACGGAGAAACGATAAAGCCAATAAATGAAAATTATCTACCTCATTTTAATTTATCATGCGATTAATTGATGTATTGTTTATCGCGACAGGCCTATACAGTAGTCCCTCAATTATCGTGGGGGTTACGTTCCTGACACCCCCGCGATAGGTGAAAATCCACGAAGTAGGGACGTTATATTTATTTTAGTATTTATATATATTTTAAGGCTTTATAAATCCTTCCCACACTCTTGCATTGTTCTAAACTCTCTAAAAGAGCACAACGAACAAGAGCAGACAGATTGATGCTAGGGTTACTGAGCCAATCTGGGGGTGAAGTGGCCATCAAGGACACCGGGACATTTCCCGGTGGCCTGGCCTGCTCAGTGATTGCCGAGGAGGACTAAAGGCTTGGTTTGGTCGCATTTGACTATTTTAAATAAACAATCCATGCCGCTCACTCAGATGTCCGCCTCATAGACGCTCCCACAGTAGCGATGGGGACAGATCCCACCGCCTCCTTTCTCTTTCTGAGGCTGTCTGTCACAGCCTCAGAAATAGAAAGGAGGGGGTTGAGTCTGTCTTTCTCCATTACTAATGCTCAGGGAGTGGTTCAGGCCACCGGGAAATATCCCGGTGCTCCCGATGGTCAATCCGTCCCTCAGCACAATGCTCTGGTTTGTCGCCTTCCATCAATCAGCCAGTCGTGTGCAATCTTACGTTGAAAACCTGCGAAGGAGTGAGTACGCTAAAGTCGGAACCGCAAAGTATCGAGGGACTACTTGTGACTGCTCTTTTGATGTTGTTTAGTTCCAATCAGGTCACAAAATGAAAGAGTTTAAGACTGGCAACTATTTTCAGTCTGGATGGTTTTATTGTAGGACTTTACGTGAAATCTTATAAGTTAATGGGGATAATCTTTATTACATTTTACCATGGAGGTATGGAGAACTAATCGTTTTCTTTTATTTCAGATCTCCAACAGCAGATATATGACCGCCACCCTGACTCTGCTGACAGAATGTGCCCTCTTCAAAATGCCCATCTGAGTTCGACACTGAGGACGTTTTTAGTTTAGAATACCACCTGAAAATGCAGAGAACGCTTTTATTTCCAATATACGCAGAACCAAACATCACAGTGTTCTCTCTTTAGTTGTTTTAAGCTTTTAACTCTGGATTTTTAAGTTTTGTGGGACAGAACTTGGACATTCCAAACTTACTCCTCTTTGTCGATGATGCGTTGCTTCCATGCATTATGTAAATATGCAAGTATTTCATCCAGCTATTTGTATTTTATTATTTCTGTCATTTGCAGTTGTAAATAAAACCTAACATTAGTCAAATAATGCACGTCGCCCACTGAGCGTTAAATTGAGATCAGCCGACGTTTTAGCCGGTCTGGTCAAAGTTTTAAAAAAACGTGAGTGAATTTTCTCGCAGTTTCCAAGATTTTACTCAATCGTTCAGTTCTCGGACTGAAAGATGATACCGCACCGAATTTTAGCTCGATCGTTGTCAAATTATTTGTAGCCATTTTTATTGAACTTGTACCAAAAAAAAAACACACATTTAAAAAGTCTTTAAAATTCTGTCACTTCGAACAAATTCAACTTTATTCCATAAATCGGCAAACGAAGTGAATGCATCTTAAACAGGATTACCAAAATGCAATAAATAAAACATTAAACGTGTTATTAAATGAAAAAATACATTTTTAAATACAGAATATTGCACCGGTAAGAAAACAAAATTGGCAACTTAAACGGAAATATTTGGCTAAACAAAGTAACGACACATAGCTGGGCAGCGTAGCTCTTTAGTAGCTGCTACACGAACACAACTGAACTCACAAAGACGACAGCGAGGGCGTATGAGTCACAATCGCTGCGTAATAACCGGACCCGTTTTTGGCGCCGAGCTCGTGATAGTTGTAATTACGGCTCAGCAGATGGTCATTAAGGAGCGTTTTGGAGCTGGAGAACAAAATTAAGGCTCATTTAGAAACTCGGCGTTGACAAAATTTTACAGCCAGTGTTTCTTTTTTTTTTTTTTACTGTATCCCTGATAAACTTACTGTACTCCGACATACTACAGCTCAGAACCTACTTGGTCCAAACCATGGGCTGCGGGCTCGAGCCCAGGTTGCGTATCCGGCGTTTACCCATTGCCAAATCTTTGAAATGATTTATTACCCTTTACTACCTGGGTACGTATTGGGTACATCCTAATTATGTGGTACTTATGAGGTTTGTAGCCTATGTAAATACCCAGTACTTATGTAAGTACTCAGTATTTACAAAGTAACATAACCGTTGTTAGTACCCGATATGTCGCATGTAAGTACCAAATATGTCCCATATATGTATTTGCTACTTACAAGGTATGTACCCCATGGGAATAACTAGTACTTACTAATTTACTTGCATTGCATGCAAGTACCCCATATTCACAAGGTACATAACCCTTGTGAGTACCTGGTATGTCAAATAGAAAAGTACTCAATACTTACAAGGTACACATGTCCCATGCAAGTACCTGTAACCTTAAGGGTACATCCTATGCAAATACCCAGTGCTTGTGGGGTTTGTACCCCATGTAATCTACTTGATATTTATGGTGGTACACCCCTTAGTAGTATGTGGTACGTCAAATATAAGTACCGTACTTTATACATACAAGGTATATACTACATGTAAGAACCAAGTATGCCCCGACAGTACCTGGAACTTACAGCCCATGCAAGTACCCAATACTTACAGGGTACATAATCCTTATTATTCCCTGTACTACATGTAAGTACCATTCATTCAACTTTTATTTATACAGGTTAGTCTCATTGAGTCACAAGGACTCATTTTTAAGAGAGACCAGTGTACTAACATGGGAAGTACCTCGTACTTGCAAGGAATGTACGTCATGTAGGTACCCCATACTTACAAGGTACATTCTGGTACCTATACGGGCTAACTTGACATGTACCTCATACCTATTTGGTACCAAACCAAGTACTTTTGTTTGGCGTGTACCTGATACACATCAAGTACACACCAGGTACCCATGGGGACTGGGTTGTATTTTGAAATGACCTATAAAAAAAAATTCAACAAACTAAAAGTAACGAGGAAAATCAAACAAAGCTTTTTGTGGCAACTTGACATTTACAGAAAAACCTTTACAGTACATTTCAAGAACCGCAACAGAATCCACAAAACCCACTTCATGATGGGTTTGTGGTTCCTCCAAATGATCCAAAACTGAGGGTGGTTAAGTCAGACATGTTCAACTTAACTACCTCCTCATTCAGTCAGAAATCAACAGGGCGGGGAGGTAGACGATGGGAGGGTGCAGCATCTTCAGGAGGCCAGTCCCAGGAAAAAACCTCCGACGAACCCGCTGGACACGACGATGTTTCTCTTTAGGAAATCTGTGGCCTGCAGCAAAATTAAAACATTAAATAAATTGCTCACTAACCAACAAATAAATAAAATCTCTTAAAGCAAATACCAGTTTTGACTCTTAACTGGGTGTAGTGTCCCTAACTCTACACTAGAGTGCACCGTTCTGTTCTCGAAATGAGCCGACTGCTGGAGGGAACCTGGCTGTTTACAAACCTCCTTAGATGGTATTTACATTTAGCTAATGATAAGTAAAAGCATAAAGTACATAACCCTTGTTAGTACCTGGTACATGCAAGTACTTTCAAGGTATACACCTCATACACATGTCCCATGTAAGTACCTGGAACCTTAAGGGCACATTCTATGTAAATATCCAGTACTTGTGGTTTGTACCCCATGCAAATATTGGATATTTATAGTAGTACACCCCTTGGTAGTATGTCAAACATAAGTACTTTATACTTACAAGATGCATACTACATGTAAGAACCAAGTATGTCCCCTTTCCACTGTCTCCTTTGTGCTTGCTCAGGATGGGACAGCGATCAAAAGATTCAACGCGTCTGCTGGCTTCCTTCCTTAGACAACTTTTACTAATTGTCTTTTGTATGTTTCTGTTCAGTACCCTGAGACGACCTTTGTTACTTGGTGCTATACAAGTAAACTGAACTGAATTAAAAGAAAGAGCGGACTGTTCCAGATACCTTTACCTCCTCAATGAACGTGTGGATTTCAGGGGCCGCCTTGTTGGCTTTCTTCTTCAGTCGCTTCTTGGCTTTGTTCACGTCTTTCTCCACCTTCTTCCAGTCCACCTGGACGTAACCGCTGTGGTTGGCGATCTGCAGGACGATGAAAATACGCATAGCATTTTCACAAAACGCTGCGTGCTCAGAAACGCCCTGCAGTCACGCAGGTAGACCAAGCGTGCGGTCGTCAGTGACCTTTATTCGGTACGGATTCCCGCTTGCAAGCGCAAGGAGAGCGCGTCTGTTAGCAAAATATCTTGAACTGCTGCACAAATGTCAATAAGTTACAAGATCAGGTCACTGCATGTGCATCTACAACCGATGGCCCTTTGGAATCAAGATGGCTACCCCGGATATTTGATGTTAGCTGACACATAAATAACTACAGCTCGGCTAGTTTTGCAGCTATCTAGCTCAAATTTGATGTGGTAGTAGCTGAGAGTCATCTCCAACGCATATTCTGAGCGTGACTTTCTACGATACTGCACAAGATTATTTTCTAGGTTTGACCAAAACATCTTTAAGTGCCGTTCCTCAACAAGCGCTAACATGTCCTCCGTCCCTGAGCGATTCGAAGAGTAAATGTTTTTAGTTTTAGAGATTAACTGAACATGGAATGTGAGTAAACCTTAATGTTTTTGGGGCAAGATGTTCAAGTGGGCATGTATGTTGTTGAGGGGTTTTCGCTCGTCTAAGGCAGCGGAGAGTGTCGGATCCTGGCGAGTGGAGGAGCCAGGGGGTGGAAAATAGTGCCGCTATAGATTAAACTTCGGCCACCCTAATCGTTTGCGAAAACTACTTTTAAACGATATTAAAACTAGAAAGCATAATTTCCTAAAAATGATGGCTTGTTTACATCAACATATAGTAGTGGCCATCTTGGATTTTGACGTATGCAACCCAAATATTGATATTAACCTTTCTTAGCCAAGATGCAGCCACACCAAAGAGGAAGTCACTTATTTTTCTAGTTATCGAGCTCAGAAGACCGACGTACAGATGGAGGGTATTCAAGTCAACATTAGTCTAAACCTGTGGCATGAAAGGCAGCGGGCGAGAAGCCTAAACCCTTAATTTCTCGCAGTTTTAATTTACTTGCGGTGTAAAAATTGACGACTCTAGAACCCAGATGGCTCGAGTGCGTTCAGCGCCAGCTCACGCGCAACGCTCGTCTTTCTGCCGCGGAGCGAGGGCCAGCTGAGATGGGTTAATCTTGTTTCTTCAGCTGAGCGGCGTGCCGGCAGCTTCGCAAAAAACAAATCTGAATCACAAGCAACTACTGTTTGGATGCTCTTACCTGTAAAAGGAGGAACCCTCCACCGATAGCCGTGGCTGCGATCTTTCCAACTCTTTGGAAAACGTAGCCTGCACACCTGCAAAAGTCGACAACAAAAAATGAAATTATTTATTTTAATACAGAAGTGTGGTTCAGATTATTTAAACTGGATTTACAGCAAAAATTTACGAGCCACGTTTAAAATATCTCGCAATTGCTGAGGGGCGATTCAAATGTTTAAAGCAAAAATACATTTGAAATGATTCTGCTACATTGTTTTCACCCTGCAGGAACCCCTGATTTGAATATGTTTCCATATAACTATAATACCGTACCACTTTATTTATAAAGCACTTAAAACAGCAACAAGACCAACCAAAGTGTTGTACAGCAAAACAAGCAAAGGACACAGGATAAAATACATAGATCCACAGGGTAAAGATAAGAACTAAATGATTAACATTAAAGAATACAGACAAGTTGAATCAACTCGTGCAGTGTCAAAAGCCCGGGAATAAAAGTGAGTTTTCAAACAAGACGTCAAAACTGTGAGAGAGGGATTTAACTCATTCCACAGTCTTGGACCTGCAACAGAGATGGTTCTGTCACCTCTGAGCTTAAAACGAGTGCCTGGAACCAATAGAAGCATCTGGTCTGCTGACCTCAGAGAGCGCTGTGGGATATGGCTGCAGCAGATCAGTGAGATAAAAGAAGGCAGAACTGTTCAGAGATTTGAAAAAGTACAAAAAGATTTTAAAATGAATTCAAACGTGAACCAGGAGCCAGTGCAAGGAGGCCAGAACTGCATTAATGTGCTCGCTTTTGCCTGTACCGGTTAAAAATCAGGCTGCAGAATTTTGGACCATTTGTAAACGTGCAGTGGAGGTCTGACTGATTCCAAACAGAACATTGCAGTAATCAAGCCTGGATGTTATGAAAGTACGCATTACTGTCTCGAGGTTACTTTTGGACAGTATGGGCTTCAATTCAGAGTCACCTTAACTGAAAAAACTAAACAAAAACAGAATTTAACAATCATGATTGTTAAGTTTCATGGAAGGGTCCATTTTCACTCCCAGATTAGTGACAACCTGTTTCTCTAACGAGGCTAGACAGGAAAGGTTGATACAGTCATTCTTGATTGTGTCATTATGTGTAAATAATGACTTCAGTCTTCTTCTCATTAAAATTTAAAGCCATCCTCGACGTCAGCCAGGCAGTCAAGAAGAGGTTGGATAGAGCGTGCACCAGTGTGCTGCAGAGGGAAGTATATTTGACAGCCATTGGTGTAAAAATGAAAAGGTACGCTGTGTTTACAAAAAATAACACTTAGTGGCAGCAGGTATAAAGAAAAGAGAGGAGGACCGAGACAGGACCCATGTGGTACCTCCCATCTAAGAGCTGCCGATGTTGAAATAAAATCCTTGATGTTGACAAAAGGTTCTGTTGGGGAAGTAGGACCTAAACCATTTGAGGGTTGACCCTGTGATGCCCACCCACTGTTCCAGGCCAGAAATGAGGATCTCCTGCAATGGTGTCAAAAGCAGATGTAGGGTCCAATAGGACAAGAATAATATACATGATAATATAAATATGATATATTGTTTATCCATCCATCCATCCATCCATTTTCTTTACCCGTTTATTCCATTTTGGGTCACGGGGGTCGCTGGTCCCCATGTCCAGCAATCACTGCGAGGGGCGGGGTACACCCTGGACGGGTCTCCAGTCCATCACAGGGCCACATAGAGACAAACGAGACAAACAACCATTCTCTCTCTCACTCACACCTAGGGACAATTTAGAGTTACCAATCAGTCTAACATGCATGTTTTTGGTCTGTGGGAGGAAACCAGAGTACCCGGTGAAAACCCACGCATGCACGGAGAGAACATGCAAACTCCACCCAAAAATAGACTGGACTATTGCAATGGTTTATTATCTGGGTGTCCAAATACGTCTTTAAAACGTCTTCAGTTGATCCAAAATGCTGCTGCCAGAGTCTTAACTGGAGTTACTGGGAGAGATCATGTCTCTCCAGTTTTAGCTTCTCTCCATTGGCTCACTGTCAAATCCAGAATTGAATTCAAAATCTTACTTCTAACCTACAAAGCTCTCAACAACCTAGCTCCATCTTTTATTTGTGATCTTATTGTTCCATATTTTCCTAACAGAGCACTTCGCTCTCAGGCTGCAGGTTTACTTGTGGGTCCTAGAGCTTCCAAAAGCAGAATGGGAGGAGTCCAGTTTTAAGACTTTCATTTTTGATAAATCCTATAGTTAGGGTTGGCTTGTTATGCTGCTATAGGCTTGGACTACTAGAGGACAAATTGACCTCATTTCCTTATATGATTTGTTAAATTGAATAGTTTTCATTTGACACTATTTCTATCTTAACATGTGATTCTTGACCTGCCATTGTGTATCTGTTCCTACCAAACCCAGCCGGTTGAAGCAGATGGCCGCTTGTCCTGAGCCTGGTTCTGCTAAAGGTTTCCCCCTCATGAGGGAGTTTTTCCTTTCCACTGTCGCCTTCATGCTCAAGATGAGAGTTCTGTGATGGAGTTCAACTCAAATCAATCTGCTCCTCAGATAAATAGTTAAATTATTATTTTTAAATATGAATGTTTCTGTTCAGTGCCCTGCTGGCTGTTTACTATTCACAGAGGGCTGAGTGATACTAGCAATAACAGCATTGTAAAAGGGGGACAATTGAAAATGGAGGCTCCGCCCCTATTTAATGATGGACGGTTTCTCTTCACAAAGATGGCTTCCTTCACTCCTCTTCCAAACCATCGTTGGTCTCTACCAAGGACGTGAACGTCTTCATCCCTGAACAAGTGACCGCAGGTGAGTTTAACCACAGAGTCCTGGCCTGATGATGTTGCAGCTCCTCCGACTGAAGAAGTCTTTTGGATCAAAGGCGAAACATTTCAACAAGAAGAATCCGTCCAGAGGATCTGACTTTGTTAGATTTTTCCACCTGGATTATTGAGCATGCATCAGAACGAACTTTTAACCAATTTAAAAACCTAGAAAGCATAATGATGAAATGATCAGGGTCAGTTTACACACAAATTTATATGCTACTAGCCATTTTAGATTTGGACCTGGCAACCCAATTTTCAATGGTGACCTTTCTTTCGCCCAGATGAAGCCATGCACACCAAAATGGAAGTCAAGTTATCCAGCTCCAGTGTTTCTCCTACCTTTACACAAGGAGGGTGCCCTGCCTGGTCAACAAAACCAGGCGCCCTGCCAACCGAGCTGTCCTTAATACCCACCCCGACTACCTCACTACCTCACAAGATGACCTCGGCTAATAACCAATCAGATATGTTTAGAAGTTAAAACTAACGGACACGTCCTTCATGTGTGACATCTTTGCGATCATTAGTTGCTGTCGATGAGTTTGTGTCCTGGTCCTTACCATCCGGTCACCCCTCCGATCACGAGCTGGGTGGCCACTGAATACTTCTCAGCAATCGGGCCAGAGCTGTTGCCAAACACCCTGCTCCACCACTGGTGCCCCCGGGCGTACTCTGTGAGGTCCACGACCTCGTAGACATCATCGTCGCTCTCCGGGTCATCCGGACCTGCAAAATTGACTTTTACTGAGATTTGCGTAGCAATGACTCCCTAAAGACACCATCTAGCAACCACCGTAACTAAAATAGCCTATAATCTATAATTTACCTTTAAATAAACAATTTGTAGCGGGTACGAATTCAGAAATAATCCTTTTAAATCAGTTCGAAATTGGCCCTTTTTCAATACCGGCCGCTGTAGTTCCGGGAAATCCCTTCGTATAATATCTGACGTCATTGTAAAGCCTGGGGATTCCTCCTTTTAAATGTCGGGCTGGGGTTCCTGATTAAAACTTTGTGCCTTTATTAAAGAATCATGTAAAAAAAAAAAAACAATTATCTGAATCTTCATGCATGAAAGTTAGTCATGGGGTTCCTCAGGGTTCAGTGCTTGGACCAATACTTTTTATATATGCTTCCATTAGGTACAATTATTAAACAGCATGGGATAAATTTTCAATGTTATGCTGATGATAGAGTTAAATTTGTCCAAGAAACCCAATGAATCCAACCAGTTACTTGGATAACAATGTCTTAAAGACATAAAAACATGGATTATCGTTAATTTTCTGCTTTTAGAAAACTTTTCTAAATGGCATTTATAATGTTTCTGTTCAGTGCCCTGACATGACTTCTGTTGTGACTTGGTGTTATATAAATAAACTGAATTGAATTAAAATATACATTATGTTAATATGGGGAAATTATTTTATTATTTTTCTAGATACGAGAACAGGCCTATTGAGTGTTTTTTTTTTTATATATATATATAATATAGTTAACGTATTTTATCTGTTTTTCATTAAAAAAATATATACATTTTCTTCCCTACAGGTAAAAATGGGAATGAATGTGTCAAAATAATATATTTTTTATTCAATTCAAATTGTTGCAAACTATCATTTGTGTTATTTAAAATAAACAACAAGTTTGTGCTATTTAAATTTCAGATGGCAGGTAATAAAATGTTATTAATGGAGCATTTGTGCAGACAATTAAAAGCTCTTATTTTTGTAAATTTTGCGAGTAATAATATTAATATTAATAGCTTCGACTTGGATCTATTAATCCAATGAAGGTTAACTTCAAATATCCACCGGAAGCTGCTGTTTTAACTTATTTTCCGTCAACGTTTAAAGAAAAACGACGACGGTTTGAACACAATCACTAACCTTCTCTCTGCTCCGCCGTCGCCATTTTGGAGAAACCAGTTACGTCATCAGGATGTTGACATTATAAGCCACGCCCACTCCGTGACGTTTTGCCACGTCTGTTAAAAAAAAAATGCAATCATTCCGATCGATTACCAGTTTTGCCAAACAGTTGGGGCTTACCTATGTTTAACCATCGTTTAAGCAAGAAATCTTAAAAAAAAAAAAAAAACGTAAAATTATTCGTATCTGTCACGTAAATAAGCGCTAACTGATACAGGAGCGTCATGTTTATTTTGCATAAATTATCATTTAACGCTCTTGTAATGCCACGTGAGGATTTTTAACGCCATGTGCAGCATTTAAAGTATTAGTGGTATGGAGGGAAACAAATGCGTGGTTTTGACGGGAGAAGTTGAATATTTCAGATGAAAGGAAAATAAAGCAGGAAAGTCACGTGGTGGGAACCGAGCGCCGTGATTGGTCGAAAAGGGGAGGAGAGGGCGTGGCCACAGCGGCGCGTGGGTTCGCTCGGCTTTCACAATAGGCTCTGTGCACATGCGTCCTGAATCACTTCCCCTTTGACCGGATGTCGGCATTCCAGTTTCCGGTCTAATCCCCGGTCTCGGTGAAAATGGCGTTTTCTAGATGTTTACAAGAGCTGCCCAAGATAAATATCAGCGATGTTCATCGTATTGTTGATGCCTGGTCCCCTGCTCCGACAAGCAAACGTAACAAGGGATTTAAATTGTATATCTCAAGTTACCTGCACAACTACGAGGGTAAGTAACGTTAGTTTGATCGTTGTGATGTTGCTAACTGTTTGCAGCTAACGTTAGGCTATTAGCAACACGACCATTTTTGTGTATACTCACGTTATAGAAACAGGTTTTCCACACTTAAACAAAAGGCTCATATTTTGTGATCATTCTACTAACATTCTGCTCTTCTCAGTTTCTAGCAAAAATCAGGACACAGGTGAAGTCGTTGTCAGGGCTCTGTGTCACAGGTCCATGAAGAAAAATGAAAAACCTCACAGTTTAAGTGTAGGGTGAAGATAGGATTGTTCAGATGACAGTTTTAAGATTGTTGGTTCAGTAACCCGACGTTCCTAATGTTAATGGGGATTTAGCTAAGGTGGTAATTAATTCTTAAATAAAAATAAAATGGAATTGGCTATTTGATGAATATTAACACGTGAGTTTGGCCTTGCTTGTCCCCATTTGGTTATTTGCTGCATGCATTGTTCTTCTTTTATGGTTGTTATGTGTTACTTTTAACCCAGTGTTAATTTGGTAATTCATGCATATTAGTTTTACTTAAATCTAAAGAATACACTCACAGTCTCTGTAACATTATCCAGGTATTTTTACCTAGCGGGTCTCCTCTGGGTTAAAAGTGTTTTGAAATCAAGTTATCTTTATCTCATCCATTCATTTAAGATGTAATCTTGTGATAATTGTATTACACTACTCTTGACCTTCATAGAACATACTCCAAACTAAATATATAATCACATAACATGATACTATGGTTCTATGACATTAGTTATAAAAAAATATTTGGGAAGCAAGATTGCATCATGAAAGAATGGCTGATGAGTGACCAAGCTAAGATAATAAGTTCTTACTATGACATTCTTATGCAGGTGGTCCTGAAAGACTCGTGTCCTGTGGAGCTGATTCACCACAGCTGTACGTGTGTTGCTGGTGCAGCATTATGCAACCACTGTGTGGCTTTGCTGTTCCAGTCAGCACATTATTCTGAGCTGAAACTGTCAGTGGTCCCCCCTGTACTAAGCTGTCCAGAAGGAGAACAGCAGTGGCACAAGCCCAGAACTTTAGTAAGTTTTCTCTTCAATAATAGACTCAATTTATTACATTTTCTTGCCGTATAACTTGTAACTGTGTCATGGATAACTGAATAGGGTATAAAACCTGGCCCCGTGGACAAGATGACTGTGCTGTCTGCTAAACCGAAGAGTGGAGCAACAACAGAGGGTGTAAGGTAAAAAAAAAATCAATAAAAATTCTGATGTATTACAACAGTGTTTCTCAACCCTGGTCCTCAAGGCACACTGCTCTGCATGCTTTATAGATTTCCCTGCATTAACACAGCTGATACAGTTGTTAATCAGTTACCAACTGAAATGAGCTGTGTTTAAGCAGGGACAAATCTCAAACATGCAGGACAGTGTGCCTTGAGGACCAGGCTTGAAAAACACTATTATTTTATGTTTCATATCTGAACGAAATGCAGGTGGGTATTCTATTTTTGACTCATGTTCTTTTCTTATTTATATACACAGGAGCACACTCTACAAAGGCCTTAGTGGGGATTTGCCGGACCTTTCTGTCCTTAGAGTAAGTAGTTGTATTTAAATTACTGATAAATAAAAATGAAATTAACAGTAGGCTACAATGTACTAACAAAGAGTTGTAGACTTACCGGTGTATTGAATAATTTTATTTTCAAGTGCTGTCTCTTTGTAAAGTGTAGAATTTTTGAGGGCTTAAAATTAGTTGATATACATGTATTTTACATTTTATTGAAATAATTGTTTTCACTTTCCCAGGTTTCCGAGGTGTATGAAGATTTTGCAGCAGCTGATGCACCAATGATCTGCAGCATGGGAATCAGCCATGAATTTCCCCTTGTTGACTCTGCCCTTGGCAAAGTTCAGGCTGGAAGTCCTCTGTCCTACCAACAGCCAGCAACAGCAAAGAGAGACATGTCCTTCCATGCTGCACCACCCCGCCCATCTCTGCCTCTTAAGAACTACCACCTACAGCCATCAAAAAGCATGTTTGTTTGTTCTGAACCACAACAGCTACACCTTAAAAGTATGGAGGTCACCTGGGACATGGTGAATAAACTAAAAACAACTCATGCTTACTATTGGCAGGTTCAGGGGCAGATGCTAATAACTGGGATGAACTGGTGTGATTTTGTTGTCTCAGCTGAGGAAGATATTCTTATTCAAAGAATTTATGCAGACACTAATGTGATGGATTCAATCAAACACAAAGTAGACAGATATTTTTTCTATGTTTACCTGCAGAAATGTCTAAATTAGGAGTTTGATCAAATCAAATGTACAAATTTGTTTCAAAATATTTCCATCATGAATATCTATTTACAAATGTAAGACAATGTCAATGTAAGTAAATGACAGCATTTTCTGTTTCTTCAAGACTGTGCCATCAGCTTTTCTGTCAAACTTCATATCTCCATTTCCTGACCAAAGGTCCATTTTGGTAATTTGACAGGAGACAGGCAACTGTAAAAATTTGGTTTATGCTTCCTGCAATGGAGAGAGGGATAGTGGAATCAAAGAGTTTATTTTCTTTAACTCTTCTTATTAACCTCTCAACATGCACCCTCAAACGGGCAATGGACTGGGTCTTCAAAACGTCGACCTCTGACATTTGGGCCCTCTTGGAGAGGAAGGCAGGACGATGAACAGTCCCAGGTACGAGATCATCCACCAAGAATCCCTTGTCCACCATGATGGCCATGTCCAGTGTCAAGAGTGATGTAATCCCTGATTGACGGAACACTTCCTTGTCACTCATGGAACCCTCAAACAGTGCTGACACAAATGTCAGGGCTCCGTGAGGAGACATGCCCACCATGGCCTTAAAGGTACAGTGGGATTTGTAGGTGGAGAAGACTTCACTCTGGAGGAGCAGGGATGAAGGTGTTTGACACCGTAGTTCTGTACAGTCCAGGATAACTTGTGTGTCACTGTAGCGGCCATCAAAATCCTGTGGAAGACTGGAACTCACAGCTGCAGGAGACATCCACACACAAATTGAGCCCAATAAGCAGTACAGGAAGTTGGCCCATGTCACAATAATGCGGCTGACTGTTGCTCTGTGGATGTTAAATCGATGGCCCAGTTCCCTCTGGGTACATCCAGTAGACAGGTAGGAGAGGAAAAGAAAAAGCTCATCTATTGGCAGCAGTTTCTGGACAGAAAATTATTTAAATGTTAGTTCAAAACCAGCATTCTCATTGTGTGTGTGTGTGTGTGTGTGTGTAACTTACAGTTGGTCTGGTAAAAGGGGTTTCAGTTGTTGTACTCATGACGTCGGTTTTCTTTGCTCTGGTGACCCTGACCATTTTGGCTGTTGCTGCCTCGATCAAGTTCCAAAACGCCTTCAGATGCTCATATGAGGGGAACCTAAAACACATTAAAAAAAAAAATATATATATATATATATATATATATAAACTGTCACTCTCCACATTTATAACTGTGAAAACAGTTTTCAAATTTTGACACGGTACAACTAAGAACATAAATATCTTTCTTTGAAATTTTATGTTGTAAAGTGGAAAGAAAATTATACATGATTTGAAGGTTTGTAATTTTTTTATAAATTGAAAACTATTTTGAGCACAAATGTTCAGCCCCCTTAAATCAGAGAGTAACTTCTAGTCTTCATAAGTTTCCTGATGATTGCTAATGGCATAATAGTCAGCCTGTGTGTCATCTAATCACAGAAACCAACTATTTTCACCGACCTGAGGCTGTCACTAGCTGCTGTATTTGTATTTGACATTAGTTTACACACGGGTGGACTCCATAGCCATTTGTAATCATTAAAGCTATTTCTGAAGGAATATTGGTTACAGAAAAGGGAGCCGATTACTCTTACACACCACACTTTTCAGTATCATTTGTAAATACAGTACTACTAGTACTACTACTACTACTACTACTACTACTACTACTACTACTACTAATAATAATAATAATAATAATAATGTGTTACATTATGTATAATTTCATTTCCACTAGTAAGTGTGTACTTGTGTTGGTCTCTCAAAGAAAATTACAATGAAATTGTTTTTGGTTGTAATGTGACAAAATATACAATGACTCAAAGCGTATTAATTTTTTTCAGAGGCATAACGTAATATTTAGAGTTTACAACTCTGACCTGGTGTAAAATCTGATGTCTTCTGGTGACGTAGAAAAACGTTCCAGTCCAAACGGCTTTTGAAGACTACAGGATCGGAGCTGCTCTTTCAGTTGCTCAATTTCTCTCAGCATGCTGTGATATTGCTCCCGGTCAACACACACGGTTCTGCTGGCGCCGTAGTCATGGTCCACGACCATAGGTACCATGACGGGTGGTTCATTGTCCTCAATTGGATCCGCCGAATCAGGTTCTGGATTAGATGGTCGACAACGGCGCTCCCAAACACCTGCTCGTGTCTTCCTGCTGTATTTGTTCCACTCAAATAATGATGGAACCGACCCAGCTGCTAAAATTCGTCTTCCCTTTTCTGTAGTAATTACTTCATTCTCCAGGAAATGTCGGCTACATACCTTGGTGTGAGGAGTTACCGTAAATCCCTCTCTTCTGATTTTTTGCAGCCAGCACAAACGAAGGCTTGTCTCCTTAGGGAAACGGTGAAAGCTCAAACGGCTATTATAGCGACCTGAAGACGAGCAAAGCGGCACACAACAGTGCTCCTTAGACCCAAACACCGTCGGCTGAAATCTAAAGCTGCCACGCACGTTATATTTTTGTTTATTTGACGCAGCAACACTCATTTTAGTTGTTTATCTCTGGGAAGACAGGATACAGGAATTAAACCGGAAACTGGAATGCCGACATCCGGTCAAAGCGGAAGTGATTCAGGACGCATGTGCACAGAGCCTATTATAATAACTTTTATCTTCGCGTGCGAAACGCGATTTTTTTTTTTTCTATCGCCATACACCTAAATTTCTGCACGCGCCGCTCGGTTACGCGCATTCGACTTTGCGATGAAAAATGTGACGTTTCAGGAGGTACCCGGAGAGCGCTCGCGAGTCCCCCACAACAGAACGGATTTACTCCGTCGAATCGCATCTCATCACCCCGGGAAAAAGTTTTTCATCGTTTTGTTCGCCTCGCTCGCCTTCGTGTGATTCCGGCGGAGCGGGGGTGGGGGGGGAGTTCTCCATGCAGTCGTGCGGCGTGTCCGTCGCCGCCGCCGCCTGCGCCGCCGCTCGGAGTCTCGGCTCGGCTTCTTCTGGCGGTGGTGATGAGGGAAAGAAAATGGCGGCGGGAAAAGCGAGCGAAACGGAGGAGGACTTTCCGACACTGACAGCCCCGGAGAGGGACACCGTGGCCGGGATCGACAGGTCGGCGCCGCTGCTCCGCGCGCACACACGCACGCTTTCCCACAAACGAGCCCGTTTTATTCTGTCCCGTCTGTCGCAAGTTGAAATGACAACTAAAAATAACAGAGAGCCGCCTGTGTTGTGTTGCAGCTCACTGTTTGGATTTCAGAAGCTTCATGAAGATGGCGCCAGAACGAAGGCCCTGCTGGTGAAGGTAGCTGTTCTCTGTTTATTTCACGTCGCTTTCCACGTTAAGACTCGCAAAAACGATCGGTAAATTCACCCTGGAAGTGAGCGGTGGAGTGGGGGGGAGGGCAAAGCCGAGCAGCCCCCTCGCCTCGGGGACACCAAGGCCAGCGTTAGCCGCAGTTAGCAGCCTGGACCCTGGCTGCACCTGCGGAGTCCCCCCCCTCTTTTTTAAAATTTTTTTAACAAAACACCGCTTTCCTCATTCACCCTGATCCTTATCGTGTGTACATATGAGGCAGCCGCCCTTCCCTGGTTGCCTGCACTGCTACCAGCCTTGCAAAACGTGCCCCCCCCCCCCCAAACAACAATGTCGTCATGGTTTTCCTGTCCTGCAGACCTTAATGAGAAAAGTTTAGTTGTTGCTGGATGGCATATTTGTAAAACCTTCCCTACTTAAGGCTGAGCAGGTTTATGGATGATCGTAATTGGGGGGGGGGGGGGGGGGGGGGGGGGGGGGGGGGTGACGTTGTTTGGCCAGGTCAGTTTGCGTTGCTTCCACCTACTATAACGCAGTTGTGTCTTTCTACAAATGGGGGGGTTATTTTGTGCACTTTAGCCTCACTTGAGAGCTCATGTGTTGGTGTGGAGCCAGTTTGGTAACGTTAATGTCTGGCTGTCCAAGATGGCCGGGGTGGGGGTGGGGGGGACGTGGTGGAGCAGCGCCTCTATCCTGGCCAGTTTTGGTGTCACTCCAGGCTGTTTGCGAGGCTTCTTTTTTTTTTTAAGGTGGTGTCTGGAGTCCTTTGTTTACAGTCACAGCCAAACGTGTGTGCTGGACAACGCGCACGCTTTTGCGGATGTGCATGAAACGCAATGACAGAGAGGGGAAGGTGCTGTTGACACTTGGTCTCGTGCCCCCCTCCACCCCCACCCCACTGTGGATTTACCTACAAGGAAGTGTGTCCTGTACCTGCCCTGGAGCAGTGTTTGGGAACTCGGGAGGTTTGACAGACACCCCCCCCCACACACACACACACACACACACACACACACAAATAATTCAGTCCTTTGTAAAAACCAGGACGGGGACATGATCTCCCATACCACAGGAGATAAAAACATTTGAATAGGTTTCTTGCACGTTCAGTTCTTCGTCCCACCCTTTTACAACCTATGCGAGCTAGTAGTTCAGGATTAAATGATCCTGGATCTGTACTGTGTTCGGTACTGATCTTCTCTTTGTTTACTTTGGACAACTTCTGCACAGACCTTCCTGTTGACCTTTTACTAATGTCCCTACTCAAAGTCGGTGTTTTGTGATAGATTGTGTTCTAGATAGATTCAGTTCTACGTCTGGTTCATTGGAATAAATTTTGTTTAAACAACCGTTCTTCATGGGCCACTATCCTGCACATATTAGATCAGGGCGTCCGATCCTGGTCCTCGAGGGCCACTGTCCTACATGTTATAGATCGAGGGTGTCTGATCCTGGTCCTTGAGGACCACTGTCCTGCATGTATTAGATCATGGGTGTCCGATCCTGGTC